TAGACTCGTATGATAGTGGTGCAGAATGTCCTGTTGAAGCGTCTCAGATATCACTAGTCGCATCAGCTTATCTCAATCTGCAGCCGCTTTCTTAGATGTCGGGCAATAGAAGAGTGCCAGCTGATCCACGTCGTAATTCATGGCAATAGATCCGAACATTCTAGCTTCTTCTTGTGTCAGATCCCGGATCTCCCCGATCAGATACTTCTTCAAGCCCATGATCCACGACTCCTCGTCCTGCGCTTGTCGGATCCGCTCGATCCGTAGCTCTCTCACGACTTCCTCTCGTAAGGAGTCTGGATCAGATCCCGCACGTACCCCCGACCTGGCCTTAGATCGGGTCGTCACCGCTGATACCCGTATGGTTTCTTCTTCGACTTTCACCATCAGGATCTCATCCAGCGTATTTAAGGTTATGAGATCCTGGATCTCTGCATCAGACTCTATCTCGATCCCACATTGCCGTTGCAGAGCAGCACTCCCATTCCAGTCCCGTTTGACGTGCAATAGTTCATGATCTGGCCAAGTACGTAGTCGATCCAAGGCTCGCTGACGTAACAGTGTCAGACCTGGCGCCTTACAATCGATCTCTCCTCGTACTTGTCGGATCACCAGGTTTGAGTCTCCGCAGATCACCAGACGCTGTGGATCCAGATCCTCCAACAGATCCAGACATAGTAACAACCCATGGTATTCTGCCTCATTCACCGTCAAGCCTTCGGCATACCCTGATCTAGCTTTCACCACCCTCCATTCGGGCAGCCTCCACAGGATCGCGCTGTAGGCGCCTCCACCGCTCTTGACATGGGCTGATCCATCGAAACTGACGATATACAGTTCCTGATCTCATCCGACAGTGGTGATCAAAGCTTGGATCCTGCGTCTTGGCTCCTTTTTGGAGGCGATTGAGATCAACGCCTTATCCACTTCTGATCTAGGGGTGATACTGGCTGCCAATGCTCCCAAGATCTCGTCCTCTCCTTTGACACACTTAGTAATCTCAAGTGTCCAAGGCGACAACAGAGCGGCCCATTGTCCCAGACGTCCTTGTAAAGCCGTGGATCTGAAAAGCCACGCCAATGTTGAGTGTCGGGTTAACACATGGATCGGACGCCCAACCAACGCATTGTAATTCAGATCCAGGGTCCTCGGAAGAGCTAGCACTTCCTTCTCCGCGATACCGTACTTTAGCTCATTAGACTTCAGAGTACGGCTCGCAAACTTCACGGGGTAGTAGATCTGGTCATATTCTTGCATCAGGGCTCCCGAGATAGCCCCGTCGCTGGCGTACACCACCACCGTAGCTTTCCGATCCGGGTCAAAGTGTCGTAAGATCGGAGTTGTAGCAATCCTGCTCTTGAGCACGTTGAAGGCCCGATGAGCATGAATCCAACGTGGATCTACCTCCATAGGATCAGGCGCCTCCGGATCCAGGGTCCTTCGGTGGTTGACATCTCGATCTTCCTGTGATCTTGGATCCACACCTTCTGCTTCCAGCATTTGTTGGATTCGCCCTTGAGTGGTCTCTTTCGCCATCGCAGCAAAGTCGATTTCTCGCAATTCGTACAAAACCGACGCGTAGATCGCGTAGTCTTCGATAAATCGACTATAATAGTTCAGACTCCCCAGAAATGATTTCATAGCCCTGAGTGATCTTGGAAAGGCTAGATCAGTTAGTGCAGACAAATCTTTCTCTTTCGGATTCGCCTCCAGTCCATTGTGCGAGACCTTATGTCCAAGGTATTCCACCTTGGGCATCCCCCAGAAACTTTTAACCAAGCAGATCGACAAGTTCCATTTATCACATGCTTCGAGCAGCCCGTCGACTCGGTCACATAGTTGATCCCAACTATTAGCGGGGATCAGGATGTCATCGATATATGATCTACGACCGAGCACCGAAGGCCTGCCTGGATCCACCGGTTCCCCGTCCTCAAATACATCCGTAGTACTTCCGTGATCTTCAGACTTCGGGATCCGGGTGAACCCATATAGCGCGTTATCGATCATACGTTGATAGATCTGGGGCGCATTCTTCAGGCCGAAAGGCATTCGATTCCACTCAAATACTCCAAAGGGAGTGATAAAAGCCGAGATCAAGCGAGCACGAGCCGTCATTTTTACTACCCAAAATCCACTTGCCATATCCAAAGAACAGTACCAAAGTGTCGACTCCAGATCTTCGAGCAGATCGTTGATCAAGGGCATTGGGTATAACATCAGTTGTGTCAGGCTATTAACCAACCGGTAATCGATACATAGCCTGATGTCCACCCCATTCTTCTTAATGATCACCACGACGGGGGTTGCCCATGGTGATCTGGAATAATTGATCATCTTGGCGGACAATAGGCCCTTGATCAGGTCTGCTAGCTTTTCCCTGAACTGGATCCGCAACTTACGGCTCTTGAGGGCGATGGGTCTCGCTCCCCCAACATCAATATCGCAAACCACGCCTCTAGCTGCCGGCAGAAGAGCATTTCCACCAGTTGTGGTGAAGTCGGTGAAACTTTCACCCCTTGGCGTACAGTGCTCGCTCTGGTCCCGAGACCCTAGGAGACTCGGATGCACAGAGGGTCAGAAGTCTGAGAACCTTTTGGGAACTCTGAGTTTGGCGTGTGGGCCTTGTGTATAATCCCTGTGGGTTGAACACAATATTCGGGAACTCTTGGTCTCGACCGTTGGTAGATAGTTTGTGGGAAGTCTGTGTG